GTCTGCATGTGAATACGACTAGTAATTACAGTCTGTGTGTAAATGCAACTACAGTAATTACAGTCTGCATGTGAATACTAGTAATTACAGTCTGTATGTAAATACGACTAGTAATTACAGTCTGCATGTGAATACGACTAGTAATTACAGTCTGCATGTAAATACGACTAGTAATTACAGTCTGATTGTGAATACGACTAGTAATGGCAGTCTGCATGTAAATACAACTACAGTAATTACAGTCTACATGTGAATACGACTAGTAATTACAGTATGCATGTACATACAACTACAGTAATTACAGTCTGCATGTGAATACGACTAGTAATTACAGTCTGCATGTAAATACAACTACAGTAATTACAGTCTGCATGTGAATACGACTAGTAATTACAATCTGTGTGTAAATACAACTACAGTAATTACAGTCTGCATGTGAATACGACTAGTAATTACAGTCTGTATGTAAATACAACTACAGTAATTACAGTCTGCATGTGAATACGACTAGTAATTACAGTCTGTATGTAACTACGACTAGTAATTACAGTCTGCATGTGAATACGACTAGTAATTACAGTCTGCATGTAAATACGACTAGTAATTACACTCTAATTGTGAATACGACTAGTAATTACAGTCTGTATGTAAATACAACTACAGTAATTACAGTCTGCATGTGAATACGACTAGTAATTACAGTCTGTATGTAACTACGACTAGTAATTACAGTCTGCATGTGAATACGACTAGTAATTACAGTCTGCATGTAAATACGACTAGTAATTACACTCTGATTGTGAATACGACTAGTAATTACAGTCTGCATGTGAATACGACTAGTAATTACAGTCTGTATGTAAATACAACTACAGTAATTACAGTCTGCATGTGAATACGACTAGTAATTACAGTCTGTGTGTAAATACAACAACAGTAATTACAGTCTCCATGTGAATACGACTAGTAATTACAGTCTGTATGTAAATACAACTACAGTAATTACAGTCTGCATGTGAATACGACTAGTAATTACAGTCTGTATGTAACTACGACTAGTAATTACAGTCTGCATGTGAATACGACTAGTAATTACAGTCTGCATGTAAATACGATTAGTAATTACACTCTGATTGTGAATACGACTAGTAATTACAGTCTGTATGTAAATACAACTACAGTAATTACAGTCTGCATGTGAATACGACTAGTAATTACAGTCTGCATGTAAATACGACTAGTAATTACACTCTGATTGTGAATACGACTAGTAATTACAGTCTGCATGTGAATACGACTAGTAATTACAGTCTGTATGTAAATACAACTACAGTAATTACAGTCTGCATGTGAATACGACTAGTAATTACAATCTGTGTGTAAATACAACTACAGTAATTACAGTCTGCATGTGAATACGACTAGTAATTACAGTCTGTATGTAAATACAACTACCGTAATTACAGTCTGCATGTGAATACGACTAGTAATAAGAGTCTGAATGTAAATACGACTAGTAATTACAGTCTGCATGTGAATACGACTAGTAATTACAGTCTGCATGTAAATACGACTAGTAATTACAGTCTGATTGTGAATACGACTAGTAATTACAGTCTGCATGTGAATACGACTATTAATTACAGTCTGTATGTAAATACAACTACAGTAATTACAGTCTGCATATGAATACGACTAGTAATTACACTCTGTATGTAAATACAACTACAGTAATTACAGTCTGCATGTGAATACGACTAGTAATTACAGTCTGCATATAAATACGACTAGTAATTACAGTCTGCATGTGAATACGACTAGTAATTACAGTCTGTATGTAAATACAACTACAGTAATTACAGTCTGCATGTGAATACGACTCGTAATTACAGTCTGCATGTAAATACAACTATATTAATTACAGTCTGCATGTGAATACGGCTAATAATTACAGTCTGTGTGTAAATGCAACTACAGTAATTAAGTCTACATGTGAATACGACTAGTAATTACAGTCTGTGTGTAAATATAACTACAGTTATTACAGTCTGCATGTGAATATGACTAGTAATTACAGTCTGCATGTAAATACAACTACAGTAATTAGTCTGTGTGTAAATACGACTAGTAATTACAGTCTGTATGTAAATACAACTACAGTAATTACAGTCTGTATGTGAATACGACTAGTAATTACAGTCTGTATGTAAATACAACTACAGTAATTACAGTCTGCATGTGAATACGACTAGTAATTAGAGTCTGCATATGAATACGACTAGTAATTACAGTCTGCATGTGAATACGACTAGTAATTACAGTCTACATGTAAATACAACTACAGTAATTACAGTCTATTTGTGAATACGACTAGTAATTACAGTCTGCATGTAAATACAACTACAGTAATTACAGTCTGCATGTGAATACGGCTAGTAATTACAGTCTGTGTGTAAATACAACAACAGTAATTACAGTCTGCATGTGAGTACGACTAGTAATTACAGTCTGCATGTAAATACAACTACAGTAATTAGTCTGCATGTGAATACGACTAGTAATTACAGTTTGTGTGTAAATACGGCTAGTAATTACAGTCTGTGTGTAAATACAACTACAGTTATTACAGTCTGCATGTGAATACAACTAGTAATTACAGTCTGCATGTAAATACAACTACAGTAATTACAGTCTGCATGTGAATACGACTAGTAATTACAGTCTGTGTGTAAATACAACAACAGTAATTACAGTCTGCATGTGAATACTAGTAATTACAGTCTGCATGTAAATACAACTACAGTAATTACAGTCTGCATGTGAATACGACTAGTAATTACAGTCTGCATGTAAATACAACTACAGTAATTACAGTCTGCATGTGAATACGACTAGTAATTACAGTTTGTGTGTAAATACGGCAAGTGATTACAGTCTGTGTGTAAATACAACTACAGTAATTACAGTCTGCATGTGAATACAACTAGTAATTACAGTCTGCATGTAAATACAACTACAGTAATTACAGTCTGCATGTGAATACGACTAGTAATTACAGTCTGTGTGTAAATACAACAACAGTAATTACAGTCTGCATGTGAATACTAGTAATTACAGTCTGCATGTAAATACAACTACAGTAATTACAGTCTGCATGTGAATACGACTAGTAATTACAGTCTGTGTGTAAATACAACAACAGTAATTACATTCTGCATGTGAATACGATTAGTAATTACAGTCTGTATGCAAATACAACTGTAATAATTAGGCAACACTTGAAGACTCTATGCATATGAATACAATTGTTGATTTTCTGAAATTTATCACTAGAAAAATTAATGGGTCACATGAGACGTACAAGTGGTTACAAAATAAATTTATCACAGGCCTTATCAGTACAGCAGATAAACTGTTTCATTGGACATTCTGCTGAAATCAGTGATCAACTTGATATTTTCAAGTCTGTACACAAATGAAATTCACACTCACATAAGGCACAAACTGTTTGCATGTGTGTTGAATGCATATAAACACATCGTAGCACATTCTCTCTCATATTTCATTCACTTACACTAACGCACAAGAACATGTGTAGAATTATGGATAGGCATAAATTACAATTGGAGCAGAAATGAGCGTTCAAGTCTCAAGGAACTATTTTTCAAGTTGCCCCGCCATGGTTTCCATGGTTTTCACATAAATCTCTACAATTCTTTTTCTCACTTTTAATATGCAAATAAGATATTTTAAAATTGGCCAATGATATTCAAGTCACGAGCTGCTGCAGATCAGGCCAAATTGCTTTATGACGATGGCCAAAAATTCCGAGAATAACGCCCACGTAAATTGTGTATACTAACACATTACGACGACACTTACCAAGTTGATATCTATCATCAGTTTACGTGTATATTCATTGAGAATACCAGCATTGTTACAAACGATATCTAATTGACCATATTGGCCCAAACAGTCTTTGAACGCACCTGTTGGCGAATATATATAATTTAAATTGAAATTCTAGAAACATATTAGACACATTGAATATTACTTAGCACCGTGTGTTGAAGACGTCAGACATTTGATAACAGTCAAAGGCAACAATTAAAACAATGTTGGTATTCATTTTATTAAATATATATTTTTCTGTGTATGTGTTAATTTCATGTATTTACCTTCGAGTTCATCTGTGTTTCTGACGTCACATTTCCAGAATTGAATTCGTCCAGCGCCGTGCTTATCTTTCAGAGAGCTTAACGTTTCTTGTCCCTTCTTCTCGTTGATGTCGACAATATACACTCCCTGCAAAATAAACGCACGTTCATATACTACCATGGTTCTGTCTTCAACGCGTAGCTTCAATTCACGTGTGTGCTCCAAAAGTATTTTCATTTGGTTGTATACTATTGTTAAAGTAATAACCGTATGTTTGTAATACAGCACATATATAAAAAAAAACCACAATCATATACTTTAATTTCTTGTGTGACGCATTTTATGCTCATCTCAAATCACGACACTTCATCCGCCTGTCTGGGGTTAATAAATTATAATACAGATGACCTAGTTGCATGTCATCGGCGAGTAACAACAATCGCGGCGATTCAATTGACCAGAACTATACATTCTACTTGTTGTCTAAATTGAGAGCAGGTCAAAGTAGCAAAATAAGTAATTTATAATTATTTCTATACGAGAATACAAGTACCACAGCTCAAAAGTTTAGTAGAGAAGGTGGAGAACATTTTATTATTTTTATATTAAAACAGCGGTTCTGGGTGTATAAAAGAAACGATGGCCACCAGTTTCAGTATGCAAATGACACTCAAGCGTGAAACAACCTTTCAAGGTGCTTCGCAAAATCATTCTTTTCGACAATCTTAATCCGGTGGTGCGTTATTTTCATATCACACACAACCATGAATATATCCATGATACAATTTCGATGTTAATGTATAAGTCCGGAGCGATGTGAGTGTGATTTTTGCGTGGAAGCGACAGAAATGCGACATGATCCAAACAGTCGTTTTGACTGCTCAAAATGACTCGATCGTGGGTTTAGACAAATGCAGTTGTTAATCCCTGGTAGTTTGTTCAATCTCTAGGTATGGCTACGTAATCAAAGCGTTGATGGTGTAATTAATACCATGGAGCTAATGAGAAATACTATTTTGTGAGCTGTGAAAGCGTGAATTCAGCTACGAGAAGTGAAAACGAGATGGTGTTCACGCCATTGTTGGTGAAAAGACGTGGGTGCTGGCCTCGATTAGTTCATTGGTAGATGTGACGGGCCTGGTTGACATTGGGTGGTCATGATTACATGCTAATAGCTGGGTTCGTTCGAGAGGCTCGTCATGCACTCATGTGTGTCAGTCGTCCCAAATACATCCCTGACAATAAGTCGAGTATGTTCTCGAATTTAATATATGAAGTTTAGACAATTTAAAAACTAAATATGTGTAGGTTTTTATTAGGGCGCCTTATTTTTTGCATAACGTCATTATTGACTACCCGACAAGACACTATATGGCAAACGTTGTATAATAACTACATTGTGTTTTATTCGAATGACGAAAACGAATCTTTCAAACGACGAACTGTTTTGTACAAACACGGAACTGAATTAGAAGCTCCGCGTTGCAAGAAATTGACATATGGTAGTTTTCTTTGACAATAGTCTTATGCACGTTGTTGGCGTACGGAATTAACACCTCAAGTTGAAATGATAATAGCTTTGGACAAAGAAAACAACTAGGCGGACCATGCAAATGACATTTCCTATGACTCGGTACTGCAATTCCTGGGGGTGTGGAGCCGTGCTCTAATACAAATTGAACTCACCTTTGCTTGACGGTTCAAGAAGTCGTCAGCCAAGGCCTCTCCAATACCGTCAGCACCTCCAGTTATTATGGCAACCTTACCGTTCATTTCTAGCATGATCTGCAAGTTATGAGAACGACTAGGTTTCTAGTATAAATAAGAACACGTGACATCCGTCACCTGACACTATAAGTAGGTCACAGGTGTCAACAACTACTGGTATTCAAAGAGCAGAAATCGTTGCTACCATTTTGGAGTGGGAAATGCTGCAATTGTTTTTTCTTGTCGATTTGCATTGGAACACGCCTCTTAAAATCAATATTTTGTAACTTTCGATTTTTTTTATTTTAGGGGTATTTAAATAAGATTTTGGGACCAAAGTTTAATAGTTGTTTTAGGAACTGTGTGGGTGTTACACACGAAATTAGTCAGGAAACGTTTCACAAAATCGTTTGTTAGCATAAATACAAGATGGCCGTCACTACACTACTGGGCGTAATATTCAAATCAATCTGTTACAGTGCAAGGCCTGCTTATTGCTATTGAGAGGGCACACACAGAACTCACACTGGACAGAGGTTTCTTTTAATGGGGTAGACAAGACAATAGTACTGGAAATGAAATACATATACACATACACCAAAATATCAAATTAAAGCTCCAGGGTGTAATACCCCTCAAAATAATTACAAGAAATAAAGCACAGAAAAATACAATGAATAAATTCACAAAAAAGGGATTGCCTAGGGAAGTGTATATTGGTGATAATTCACAGTTTCACGACTTGGAAATTGATGACAGTCAATGTAACACAACAACAAAGAAATACAGGAGTCTTGCTTGCAGAGCAACGCTGTTATTCATGAAGGTACCGCTGAAAGCAAGAGATTGCAGAGCAGTTCATACAAATCTCACAGAATGATGGTTGAAGCCTGTACCACTTGTCTCACAATATCGCCGCAGCAGCACACAGGGTACTCATGAAATGATGGACCACAACTGTCCACAGTCTAGCCTATTTATAGGCACAAATGCCCCGGATTCAGGTACACCACTTGGGCTTTCACATGAGCCAATCAGAATGTGGTATTTCTAGCAGTTGTCTCACGATGACATGCGGGCACTCACGTAAGCAAGTCAGTGGATCGTAAACATTCTTTGTTATGTAAATCACAAGCACACCTGTTAGATTCCAACTGTCCTTCCAGAGTTGAAAACAAGTATGACCTATCAATCACCTTGATGACAATTATCACATGGCAATGCACGCCGTTACTTCCCATGATTCCATGCACAATTCTATTTGCAAAATTTTAGGTAATATGAAAAAACAGAGTAAAGGATGCAATTGTTATTAAAAGAATTATTAATATCTTGCTTGAGATAAATGTGATTGAGTCATGTGACCCCTTTTATATACCCCCACCCCAATTATTTTAAATAGTATGAGGGTGAACAAAATATAGGGATAATTAGTAATTTGCAAAAAACAACATGGCTTCCAGGCGCTACTAGACTATGCCAATGAAATCATAGCATGGTCTAAAATACACTACGATATTGTGATTTGATAATTCACTCATTTGCATAATTTCATTTTGGCTACACATTTCAACACAGTCGTACTAGGGGGCACAGTGGGTAGTCGCTCCGTTAAAAAAAATTGTTTGGTCAGTGCCCCTTTAAAATCAAGCTTTAACCCTTTGTACCAGCAATTTGTTTTAGGGGAACATGCCCACAAACCTCTTCGGCGTAAGGTTGGTGAGCAGTCCCCCCGCCCCCCACATGCAAAATTTCGTGCCAACGCTTATGCGTAAGAGCTTTCACATTTAACAAATTACTGAGAGTGTCCTGTCTGTACACCATACCCTCTTATTTATATGTAGTACCAGATACAATGTTATTACTATATCAGTTTTAAAAATACTCTTTTTCTCTATTTAAACAGGTGGACTTTACTTTTGCCCCATCAAAAATATCTTTACCCACGTCTTTCAACATATGCGAGTGCTGAACATTGTTACAAAAGTCAAGAACCTAAAGGATTGTCATTATTGAACATAATTTCCGGGGCAATTCTCAATAGTATGTGGGCAGTGGAACGAAACCTGAAATTGATTAACAAACTCTCACAGTGTATGAAGTGATCATATGATGTAGTTTGGACATTAAATGAGGAACTGGCGTTAGCCCCATGATTTATATAAATGTATGTACATTATCATTGTGAGAGAGGCAAATTATATGACACTTCAATTACAGTCCAGCTCTAATTCCACCACTCCCCCTGGTAGCTCTCCTTATCAGGTGTCATTTCATCTGTTGAGGGCGGGCTTGCTTGTCTTTGCCAATCAAGATTAATAGGACAGTAAAACGGGTGAAATTATGGGTAGTGGATCATAGCAACATTAGGCTTTGATTCACTTACCATACCAATTAATGAATGCTTTCCAACCTGATTCCTGCTAAAACTTGGTAGCATACTCAGTCTGGTTCTTGACCAACCACCATTCTTCACAGCTTGCATGAACATTATCTCAATGATTTCCTTGTCATGGTTGCCTAGCCAAACGAGTCTTTTTATAGCAAGTTAGGTTCATGCATTGCCTGAACTTAGGCCTTAGCAAAGAATAAGACACTGAATCCATATGCAAATTTTCTTTGTCTGGCTTGATATATCAAAGCAGTGTTCTCTCAGCGTGACATAAATGGGGCGACATGAACTTTTAGCCACATTCTGGGTAGCTAAAAACTACATATCACTCACATAATCAAGTTTGCCTCAAAGCAGAAATAGTACTGTTCAGTAAAAATACTTTGGTTTGGAGGCGTCTCTGTCCGATGTGTTACACACTAGATTAGATGACAATGAGATCTACACAAACAAATATTCAATTGCATTGAGTAGTCATGATCAGCATGTCAAGTTTTAACAGCTATCTCTTAATCATAGAGCGACAGCAGTACTATATCCTAGTTATGAAGCTAGGTTACGAATTTATCTATCCTATAACCTGGTTAAAATAGATATGCACTATAGCAACATTATGGAGATATATGTACTATGGCCTGGTTATGAGGATATCTGTACTATGGCCTGGTTATGAGCCTAGCTGTACTATAGACAGGTTATAAAGATATCTGTATATAGCCTGGTCATGATGATAGCTGTACTCCGGATATGAGGAAATATGTAGTACAGCCTAGCTACAAATATATCTTTACAATAGCCAGGTTATGAGGATATGTGCATTCTCTAGACCTCAAAACACAGAGAAATATGCCAACGGCGTTATCCTGTGCGTCACTATGTACCCATAATGCGGAATGTGTAAATCTACACTGACTTTCCAGACCATTTCTATACTATACATAATGATCATTGTTTTTGTATTTACCGAGGCAAAGTAGTTTACTTGAAATTTCGTCAGTGCAGTCATGAATAGCAAAAGATTACTCCTTCTTCTAGCCTCTTCTTGGTTTCTGTAAAAAACAAAAACAAATTGATTGCTATATCAGCAAAAGACTACAATGATTGACATGAAAATACTGATTAATTTATCCTGTAGCGAATACGTGATACTTTTGCCTGGTGCGTTTGTGAATAGATTTGTATTTGTAAGTATTTTCTGAATTTCTCAATATATCTAACATATACTATATTTCGTGTTAAATTGGATGTAACGTATATTGTATCACTTATCTTATCAAGAACTTTACCAAGTGATCCTGATTTATCATGCCTTGCCACTCCCCATACTATCATTTTCCTTTTCAACGAAGATGTGCTGAATAGAAAAAAAAATCATAAATTATATGGAGAACAAGTGGTTAGTGTGAAACAAAATTTGTCAAATACGAACATGTTGTAAATTATAGATGACTGCGTGATTGCGGGCAGGGAACACTTGTTTTATATCCTACTAAATTGGCCCGAAAGTTATTATGTCTCAGGAACGGTACCTCTTGATTGACCACTAACACCAGTAACAATGAGATCCTCCTCCATTATCAGCATTGGACGGACAAGACTGAAGGTGTTCTTCATAAAAACGGTACCCAACTGTTGTCACTTGTGAATGAGTGTACATCAGACTTTTGCTTTGTTTTCCCTCGATAAAGACTTACTCCTCACGGGCAGATCCAGCCATTATGTTCGATGCCACACACATCATTGGCTTGCCTCCGTCTTGAGCCATATGTGCGCCTTTTGCATTGGGCTTTCTGGACCTCCTGTGTGATTTGGATACAGGACAAAAAGAAGGGTTGACCTGATGGGGGATAAGGTTACAAATAACCAGGATATAGTAAAGATATGCTCATGACATGCCTATACTCAAAAATATATTCATAATCAGGCTATAGTACAAATATCCTCATGACATGCCTAAAGTAAAGATACATTCGTAACCAGGCTATAGTAAAGACATATTCATGAAGAAATCCTCATGACATGGCTATAGGAGAGATATATTCGTAACCAGGCTATAGTACAAATATCTTCATGAAATGCATATAGTACAGATGTATTTGTATCCAGGCTATAGTAAAGATATCCTCATGACATACCTATAGTAAATATATATTCATGAAGATATCATCATGAAATGGCTATAGTACCGATATATTCGTAACCAGGCTAGAGTACAGATAACGTCATAACCAGGCTATAGTCAAGATATCCTCATAATCAGGCTATAGTAAAGATTCATTCGTAACCAGGTAATAGTACAGTTATCGACATAACATAGCTGTAGTGAAGATGTTTTAGTAACTAAGCTATAGTACAGCTAGCAGCACATTTAGTTATAAATGTAAGTGACTCTATGATTAAGAAATAGCTGTTGAATAGTTTATAATTTGATCTGCTGATTGTGACTACTCAAGGCATATTGTATATGTGATTTGTGTACATCTCTGGTCATTTAATCTCCGTTAAATCTACTGTATAAAACATCGGACAGAGACGCATGCAAACAAGTACCTCTTGTCAACAGTTCCGCCTTGAGACAAACTTTATTACATTAATAGTGTGAGTGATATATATATATATATATATATTTGTTAACTACACAAAATGTGACTAAAAGTTCATGTAGCCCCATCTATGCCATGCTAAGAGAGC